CTTAAAAAGATTTGTGTTTGGCGACACTGCAGTCCCATTTCCTATTCGAAAGTAATCCATGATGCGGACCTTACGGAAGTGTGTCACATTTCTGTGTGGTGACGTGGTCAAAATCTGTACACGCTAGGTGGCGACTGTTGCACCCAGTTTTTGGAGTTCTATAAAACCGAAACTGAAACTGATCAATAATGAGGGGGATGCAGTTGATTATCTGTCGCGTGCTGTAGCAAACGACGTGTCGTGTCATGACTAACAGGCCCCCAGCAACACATTGCAGCAGAAAAACGCAAGGCCAAAGTTGTTGTGTCCGTACCTCTTTAAGAAGGAGGAAGAGGAAGAGAAAGGAGGGTTAAACATAGCATAGCCACATCATCATCATCATCAGTAGCAGCATCAGTGTCATCAACAGGCTGACTCCGCCCACTGCAGGACAAAGGCCTCTCCCATGTTCTGCCAGTCACCTGTACTTGCTGCTGCCACTTTATACCGGCAAACTTCCGAATCTTATATGCCCACCTAACTTTCTGCTTGCCTTCTCTTGCAATCCAGTCTACGATCCTTAATGACCAGCGCTTATGTAGCCTTCGCGCTACATGCCCTGCCCATGGCCATTTCATATTCTTGATTTAGACTATGTTGTTCTTAATACCCGCTTGTTTCCTGATACATCTCTCTTCTTGTCCCTTTGGCTTACACATATCATTTTTCTTTCAATTGGTCGCTGCGTCGCCCTCAACTTAAGTTGAACCCTCTTTGCTATCCTCCAGGTTTCTGCTCCGTAGGTAAGTACAGGTAAGATGCAGCTTTTCTATACCTTCCTCTAGCATAGCCATGTATACAATAGCAAAGAGGGGAGAAAGGAAAGTGTGGGTGAGAAGAAGTGACGTGAGGGAAGGTGGGAGGGCAAGGGAACCGCTGTTTCCACAGTCTTCGCACCATAAGTGGGAAGTGTGTTGCTGCTACTTTAGGTTGAAAGACAATAGTTGAAAGTATTTATGGGTGAAAAGCTTGTACCTAAGTGAGCTTGCAAACTTCGCCATTACATTACTGCACGATCGAGCGTTTTTTGCTCTGCGGAAGTTGATCACGCAACGCAAGGCGAAGAAACCAAGAGGTACCGGAAAGAGCGCTCTTTCAGCGCCGCTGGAGTTTGTCCAGCGGTCGTGGCTCTTGTATCTCTTGTTTTCTTCGCCTTGCGTTGCATAGTTAACTACTGAACAGTATGAACTAGCTAGCCAATAACGTGTTTTATTAAGCATTTCCTTACATCTTATAAAAATTGACAAAAGATTATGTGCTTGAGAGGAAAAGTAGTTGTCTGAGTAACGTTAATAGCAGCGAATTCGAAGCTTCGGCGGCAAGACCAAAATGAAGTTAAAGAAAAACATTGTGCCACTTTTGTGTCTGAAACGACAGAGCTAGCTTTTAGGAATCAGTGTTCAATTGGCCCTGATAGCAGTACGTCCTCGTAGTGGGCTTTTCCTCGAGTTTATGAACTCCACGTCACTCTAGGGGACGGCGTTATGCTCTCCCCATTGTATGAAACTTTATGGCTCTCCCATAGTACAGCACCAAGTACTCTGAATCGTCACCCACTTTTAGGGGCGAAGCTCTTTAAAGCGGCACTTGGTCGTCCCTCATAGTAGTGCGTAACATGTCTTAAGCTTTGACCTGCAAGGTGGTGCCGGTGGGAGATTTCTCCTGTGCGTTGTTGAACAATAAAAAATTCGCAGCGTGCGCGTTAACAGAAAGCCGAATTCCTCTGTCTCTCATTACCCATTAGCTGCCATTGGCATGTACATTGAGCACCATCTGACACGAAAGGGTTGCTACGTTACACTCGCTGGGCGTAACCTCCTTGGTTTTAAAAAGATTTAGCGAGCGTTGGGCCGCAGTGCCATGAATACAGTGAACTAGTATATACCATAAACTTGAGGTGGTTAAAGGTGGGAAGAAGTCACGAAGCGCAAGCCGTAAGAAAGCAACAAACACACAGACTACGCATGTTGTGTTAAATAATTTTTGCCATGTCACATGGTATACTGTCGACAACGTCAGAGCAGACTCGTCTACGTAGAGGACCAACGTCACTGCATTGACGTGTACGTAGGGTCATTCCTACGCCTACGTCATGCCCTCATTCTCTACTCGTGCACCGGTAGAGGGGAGGGCGAGCAGCTTTCATCTTGAAATTTGACCCATTTCCGCGGCGCGTAGCATTGCAAATTTTGGCAGACGTGATCATGAACGCCTCGTCTACGCATTGCGCTCGTCAGCTCAAAATTGTCAAACCTGGTGAGTGGCCCTTTAAGTCGTGGGTCATGTGTCCGCGATGTATGTAGTGGTAGTAGTTGTCGTCGTCGTCGTAGTAGTAGTATATATAGGTAACCACCTTCACAACCAGACTAGGGAAGCGGCACGCGCACACCCTTTTGAATTAAGGAGCAAACCCGCGCACGTTAATAATAAATGAAGAGGTAGTTGCTTCTGATAAAGTAACCTAGAGAGACGAGTATCGGTGAATTCAGCTCCAATAAAATTTGCCTTGAATTCAATGCTTACTGAGAAAGGAACTAGTGACAGAAGGACGCACTTTGAGCACTCCAAGAACGGCTGCCAAATCAAACTCGCTGGGCGTCACCTTCTTGGTTTCAGCAAGGCTTAGCGAGGGTTGGGTTGCAGTGCCATGAACTAGTGGCTTTGAACGGCGGAACTATAGACGAAGCGCAGGCCGTAAGAGAGTGCGTGCGCGCCGCTCCTCTAGCTGGTCCGGCTGCGTCACCTCTCGTTTAGTCCTTGGAATGTCCGCTGGATGGCGGTACTTCGATTTGGAGAAAAGATGCGAGATGGCGGTACTTGGAGTATTCACTAGACAGGTGGACGGATGGACCGACGGACACACAGACGGATGGGCGGATGGACAGATGGATGGATGGACAGACGCACGGACGAACAGCCAGCCAGCCAGACAGAGAGACAGACAGATGTAGGTATGGATGAACGGACGCACGAATGGGCGCACGTATGGACGGACGGACGGAAGCACGAATGGACGCACGAATGGACGCACGAACGGACGCACGAACGGACGCACGGAAGACGGGCGCACGGAAGACGGACGCGTGGACAGATAGACGGACGGACGTACGAACAAACGGTCGCCCAGACAGACGCACGGACGGATGGAAGCAAGAACTAACTGACGGACGGAAGCGCAGACGTACTGACGTAGGCTTCGCCCCACTTATCATCATGCACTCTGTGGATATGCTGTGATTTTTTTCTAAACACACCTCTGTTCCGTCGTATACAGTACATGGTACAAATCATCTGCCATTCGTGCTAAATGCAATACTATAGCATACAGCATACAATTATATGACAGTACATGCAAACCAAATTAGGCACTTTTAGCCGACCGTCTTTTGCCTCCCGCTCCGCTCAGCCAGTGAGTGGTTGTGCCACTGCGCATGCACTGGACAGTCAGGCGCTGAGCGTTTGAGCGGACCGTCGTGGCGAGCGAAGAATCATGTGACGCGAGGAATGCCCCGCCGCGGTGGTCCATTGGCTAAGGTACTCGGCTGTTGACCCGCAGGTCGCGGGATCGAATGCCGGCTGCGGCGACTGCATTTTCGATGGAGGCGAAAATACTGTATAGGCCCGTGTGCTCATATTTGGGTGCACGTTAAAGAACCCCAGGGGGTCGAAAGTGGCCAAAATTTCTAGAGCCCTCCACTACGGCGTCTCTCAAATTCACATGGTCGTTTTGGGATGGTAAACCCCACAGATCAATCATTCAATCATGTGACGCGAGGAGGGACAACCAAAATGGCAGCCTCTTGTGCCGCGAGTCCACGTTGCTCGGGAAACGCAGTGGTTGTTCGGTAAACACGCAAGCACCAACAGCACTTCAGGACGCACAAGGATCTGTACCTTCTCCGAGAAGTCGTCGCAGCCAATTCCTTTGAAAATCCGCGCATGTGGGTGACGTTCCACGCACGAATTATCGACCTCCGACACTTCGGGACATTGTGATGCAGGAAGCTTTTTTTTTAATGTAACATACATTTGTTCGTATTGCGACATTAAAGTTTACTGTAACAAATGCTAGCATACATTAAGAGGTTGCTGCCGCTGATGGAGGTGCACGCCTTTCAATCGATGGTTCTGAGCTTTGAAAATACCCTTTAAACGTTGAAAGTGCCCTTTTCAAATTGGAGTTTTCGAATAAATCTGAACTGTGAAATATTCTGCCGGTAAGTATTTATCGAATTTATCCGAAAACACGGAGCCGTAACTGTGACTCAATTATCGCAGCTGAAAACTTTGTTTGCGCGAGTGCGCGATGGTTATTCATCTCGAGACGTCTTTAGAGCACCTACTCACAGTTTCGGTTTCAAAGAGCACCGAGCTGGTCAGGAGCAGATCCGCTTGCAAGGTAAACACAGCTAGTAACGTCAAATCGCCATAATTTGTGACGTCATCTTGAGGTCATCATGACATTGCTCAGTCACGCGATCACCTGGCATCTTGACTTGGTCAAAGCCGGACGGATCGCGGAGACAGTCTAAAATCAGGTGAGGCGCAGAATAGTTCCAAAGCCTCCGATCTTGGAGTATGTTCAAAACCACGTTAGACCCGGGAAGCTTTCGGAGGACTGGAATTATATCGAATAAGGGGGGGGGGGGGGGATGACTTTTGCCTACGCGTCGTCTTAAGCGAACGCACAAGTGACACTGTGACTTTCTTCATACATTTTCATATTCGCCTGTTAAATATGTTTCGCAAATACTACTCTTCAATGCGACAAACAACAAGTAACAACCAGTATGGTTTTCTTGGCTTAAATATCCGTCCACATAAAATGACAGTGCTCACAAAAACCAGCACCTACATCCACTCCACTTAGAAGGTCAATAGTTAACGTCGAAATACACATGCGACGTGATGCCAGAGTCCGAAGAAGGTCGATACCTTGCGCAGAAAATAGAATCACTCACCTACACAGGTCCACACCATCAAAGTTCGCGAACTCACCGATGAGGGTTAGGATGTTTTCGAACAGCATCACGTTGATCAAGTCTACGAAAATCATGGCGCTGGCGACGTGGACGATTCCCTAAAAGAGAAATAGCAAGTGAGGGCTCCATTCGAGGCGCTCATTATTCTGCCGCTGATTCGGAAGCGCTTTTCAGCATATACACACTTAGATAACATATTTACATACGCCATGTTAAAAAAAAGGTTTGGCGCCAACAAAGCAACGCTTACATACATGGCATATTAATGCGCCACCTCTACTCAACGACACATGGCTACATGTTCCCACTCTGCCACGTACTAGACACCCTGGCACACTTGCTCGTGGAATGCCAGTGCCATGCAAATCACGACGTGCAACTGGAGCGGGACCAAGCCCCATGAATAAGCGACGGCCACCTAATGGAAACGTGGGAAGCCAAGCTCGTCCTCGAAGACGTTGAAGACCAGCGGCAACTCATCACCAGGGTCAAGAGGGCAGTCGAAGCCAGAAAGTTCCTGGACTAGGGAACCCTCCCACCTTAGGGTGATACCGGGCCTTGCTCGGAACACTGTTTCTAAATAAACGTTTATTTCTCTCTCTTGAGGCTTTTGAGCAAAAAGGTACCCTGCCCTAATAATGTAGTAAGTTGTGTACTCGAGTGCCTTAATTGCGTCTTGGGCAGCCTCGGTACTCGTCACCTTTCAAGCGTATAGGCGTGCGCAGTGTTCTCTTTGACTATATTTCACTCCCCGCACCAGTTCTCCCAGTGCTCCACCGCTGAGGTGTCCTCCTCTGAGTGAGACATTTGTGGGGTGCACTTTTCTCTCATTCTTCATTTTAAAACCACTTCCTTCCTCCCTACAGGGGAGAGGGGGGAGCGACGGTACAGAACATGGAAGCAGAGAAAGATGGTAAGATACATGTATACGTGTTTTAGTCTTATGACCAGCATACCTGCTTAGCGCAAAAAGCTCACGTACCCGTGTGGCCTCCCCAATGGAGACGTTGAGCAGTCGCAGGTAGTGTACGGCGAGGAAGATGCGGTAGGAGCCTCGCATGCCCATCCAGATGAGGATCAACGCCTGGACGAACCGCGAGGAAGAGCGCACCGACGACAGGAACGGCAGCATGCACACCACCGCCACGGAACTGCGCGTGCGCATTGGTTGTTGTCTAATACATACGCGCATGCACGTGAAGCTGTGAACAACCCATCAAAGCGTGGCTTGCTGAATGGCCTCTCAGTTACCGTTTGACCAGTATGCTTAAGGACGCAAGCTTTGGGTCCACTCCGTATTTGCGAACTACGACGTACATATACACGATTCGGTTCTGTCTGTACGTGCTGTGCGTGAAGGACCCTTGTTATTGTGTGACTGGTTTGTTTATTTTTGCTGCTCATGTGCTCTAGTTCAAATCTGGAGACCATCTACTTCCTTTTTGATGAACAGTACTCTAGAACAATCAGTTCTTCGATACATATACCAAGTGATAAAGCACACAAGTGTCAGTGTTGAAGCGTTCCACTTGCTGATGTTCGACCATTACTTGTCGGTAAATATATTACTACCGCGAGCCTTTTACTGACCTTCAATGATTATCATAAATGCATCGGACTATGTAACTCTCTCTCTGTTTTTTACTTCGTGCTTTTTGTATTCACTATTAGTGTATCACGCGTTCCCTGCATTTTTTGTTATTGTTTACCTTCTTCAATGCTACAACTAGTAGTAACATGCCGTTCGAAGTCCGCACTGCCGCGCAGACCTTCAGACGTATACAGATATGCGGCGAACATGTGTCTTTGATCGCCTTCCCGGCCAGAAATCGGGGATTCTGCATAGTATCTTCTCTCCATTGCTGCACACAATGACAACTTCAACCAATGTGACCTCCCTTGTTTCTTGACCATGGCTTCTCGTGCTGCCGCTGAGACTTTTCACTAATACTTTCTTATGCCCAGCAATCGGGCAACATTTCGATTCTTCCTTGACTGGCGAATGTCAATACTGTGGGCAGGTGACTGGCACCTACCACATTATTTGGGCTTGCCAGCTGAACTTAGCTCTTCCCCCGAACCTTACCCAAGCCGAAAGGAGTGGGAGGCGACCCTGCTCGGTTGCTCGGACCTTCAGCCCCGAAGGGTCCTGGTCCAGAGGGCTAGGCTAGCGAGTGTCACCAATGGGGTGTTTCTGAACAAGGACTCCACCCAATAAGGAGCCTCTAAAGAGCTGCACCTATCTTTTGTTTTTCAATAAATGTTTTCACTCACTCACTCCCTTGACGAGTCTGTAGGAGGCACCGTCGCCTGAATGCCCTCGCTAATAATTGAGACGGCAAATCATGTGTGATTTCCTCTGTGGCACTTCCAGTTATAAGACAGGGCATGCAAACACGAATTTAAGAGAGAAGTCAAGACACTGTGTCTTGACTTTTCTCTCTTGTGTCATGTTTGCGCACCCTGTACTTTACCGTGAATACGTACCAGCGCTGAGCTCTTTGTTCTTGACCATTTCCCGTCACCCAAGAGACATTCAAGAACGCACTTCTGGTCAGACATTCACTTCTCGTTTTCACTTGCGGAGCACTGCTCCACTTAACAAATGCAATTCCTGTCTCTCGATTGTTATCCAGTTGTGGCCCTGATAAAACATAATGACTCTGGGACGAGATAGCTAGCAACGCCGTGGACAACGAAAGCCAGCGTTCACTCACCGGGACGCGACGGCTACTAGGTAGGTCAGAAACGAGGTGTGCAGGTCAGAAGCGTTTACATTGGGCGTGATCTCGTGGCCGATGTAGAGGGCACACAGCAGCAGCGATATCACCTCGCTGATATCGTGGAGCACCTCCCAATACCTGCGTGAGAAGGTGGCCCGTGAGGACAACCGAGTTTGGGCACGCACACGGCTGTCTAAACGGTTAAAGTGCAATATAGTACCAAGCGGGATTCACGTGCAGCAACTCTAGTACAGAGTGCATGTGCGCAGCACTTTCGTTTTCTCCAGGTCGACTGTAAAAAAAATAGGACGAAAAGAAAAACATGGCCTCTGACATCAGGAGGCGTGCAATACGCGATCACGTGTGTCTTGCCGATTTCACTGCCTTACCCATTTTTCGAATCCGAGGCCAAAAGTTCCCAGGCCAATATTCCATGTTATCCCATGCATTTCTATGAAAGCGTGCCCTGGGAACGTTTGACCAGGACTGTACAGTTCGTAAAAGTGTTGTTTGAAGATAATAGTGTGAAACAAGAGTAGCAATGTCGTAAGCGGTGTTATACTAAAAAAGGGGAGAGGAGGAATAATGACAACACCCTGAATTCCGAAGCCTCAAAACAAGAAAGGCTGATAAGCTGGTGCCTTAAATTATGGGTCGGGAACCTGCGGCCTGTGAGGCAGCATATATGCGGCATGCGGCTCCACCTTTCCCTTCGTCGCTTTCGACATGACACTTTAGACCTCCAATGATTTTATATATCGCTTCCATTTAGCAGTGTGCCCTATTTTCAGACTTGACATCTTCAAAACTTGGACAGACTTGTACATCATTATCAGTTCACCTAACTTCGTCTCTTAGCCTGCAGAGCTCCGCCCCCCCCCCCCCCCAACCCGACTTGATTTGCCATGCGGCACCCGGCCTCCGGCCTTGTCGGCTTCGCGCAACTTGGCCCTAGGCTCAAAAGGTTGCCGACCATGCATGCAGAATTTAGTTATGCCTCTCAAGTTGTGAGGATTCAGATAGGGCCCAATTTAGGCTACATGTGAGCATTTTAGCAGGATCCCAATGGAAAGTTTCATCATGACAGGTTGATTATGTAAACAAGACAACATGTGAGAGCCGAAAAGAATGTTATTTTTTAGTTAACTTTGGTCGACGTCTTCCTTTTTACCTTTGGCCATGATCATTCCCGAGCGCGCGAGCTTTCCCCAAACTCTTCCTTTCACTTTTACTTTAGCAGGTGTCCCATGGCACCATTGCGCCGATTGTGTACCTCTTCAGCTCATCCTCAAGCTCCGTTGAGGTGATGATCGTGTCAGTGCTAACCATGACGCAGAAGAAGATGACGCCCAGAATGCCGCAGCCCCCGTACAACTTGAGCAGAGCGAACAGGGCATACGAAGAGGCCACTATGAACACGACCATGCACTGCGGGTTGAAACGGCAGCGATGCAGCGTCGCCTTCACCAGCAACGCGCACAGCAGGCCACATGCGCCGCTAAGAACCATAGACACGTTCATCTCCAGCAGAAGTGGGAGCACGCTGATGCCTGCAGTGAGCAGCAAATGAGAGCGCCAAAGCAGCTTCGCGTTTTATGTCACGTAGTACGAGGAGTCATTATATAGCAGGTAATATTGAGTAGCAGAACTTAAAATCACACTAGGCGTTCCTCCGATTACAAATCGCTGATCGTGACCATCAGCAACAGTAGCAAGAAAATGTGCAGTTATATACGTAGGGGTACCTGTTGGCTTACGTAAGCCCAGTAGGCGCTATATGCCAATTCTCAAAAGGGATAACTATGGCGTAGTATAGGCACTTCACAACTTCATTTGCAGTGGGAATTCTGTAGGCATTCTTGGACAGAGCATGCAACAATGTTGAACTTTGCCTGTAAGGGCACAGTCACGATCTTTGGCATACGCGCTATCTCGGCAGCCATCATTGGGCGGCTCATAAACCTCCTATGCAGGCTGCGCTCTCAACGGGAAAAGACTGCGGAATAAGCACCTTCTTGAAACGGCCGTATTCTCTTATACCAGAGTTTTGAAGAGTCACGCGAGATCGGATACAGAAGAGTTAGGTGCCAGCCTAACTTCGCTTTACATTTCAGTTTATTGCTTTTGCATTAACTGATTGGCCTTTGCGGTGAAAATATAACTTTTTTTGTTTTAGAGATTTATGATGTGTGCCTCGTTTGCACTCGTGAATAAAATTGATATAGTTCATTCTTCCGAGATGCCGCACGCTGATGTCGCTTGCGCTCGAGTGTCTCAACTCACACAAAATGCATCATTTGTAAGCGCTTCGGGTTATCTCACCACGACGGTTAAATGTGGGTGTTTCGCTTACTTCCATTATCTTTGATTTATCTAGAACGAGGTATCTTCAACTCACTACTCGTTGATCTTCACTGTGCCATACCCATCTACGGCTGGTTGCAGAAATGTCGTCTTTCCTAATCTCAAGCTGCCATCACAATCAATGCGTTCTGCTGATGTTCTGTTTACTATATAATTGTTTTTGAATCATGCGACACCATCACAACGACATGATCATTGGGAGAAACTGCCCAGAAACCTTAGCTCAGCGCAGCTATAGCGGGTGTAGCCTTTTAATGTAGCTACAAATCGTTGCACACAGGTATTACCACGACGTAGCTGGCCAAAAGCACTATTTTCTGCCTCGAAAGAAGCAACCAACGAATAAATTGTTAAAGACGAAGCATTTATTTGTGAACTAAAAAGCCCATTGGCAGTCTCTATCTCTCTATTTATGTATAGCCGCCAAAGTCTGGCTGCTCTTGTGGTAATCTGTTTTACACTTGTGATAAACGAATGTCAGCGTACCCGAGATTACGCTAACACTAGCACAAGGGTGAACAAGCTGACTCAACACAATTAACAGGGGACATATCACACGAATAACGCAAAATGCCTGCGTTACGTGCCGGCGTTACGTTGGACCATGCAAAAGGTAATATTTAAGCTCCAGTGTATTCAGCGAGCCATTCCGCAACCCTTGTCTGCAGAAGAAAAAAATAGTGTGATGATAAGCAGCTGCTTCACATAAAATCGACTCCTGGAACGCGTGGAATCTGTCGTAATGTAACGTTATGAGAATATGCATTCTTCTAGCGTTAGAAAAAAAGCAAAGAATTGTTGTTCAGACGAAGGGTAACAGATTCAGAGCACCGGGAACCCAAATATGGGAGAGCCATTTCCGGCTGTCCGTATATACGTAACACCTTCATATATAATGCTCAAGGGCGCTTTGAAAATGAGCATACTTTCTCTAGAAATCATTGTTAATAATTCAGTATGGTACGTGCTCTGCCATGAACACGCCGTAAAGCTTAGCATATTTGCATATGCAAAAAACGTTTCTGTGTGTTTAGATAAATTGTTCAATGATTTTGAGTACTTCTTACTATAACGTTGTCTTTAGAACGAAAGGTGAACGATTTACGGGTACCGTCTGTACCAAGGAAAAATTACTGGAGTGGAAGTTCTTGCCCACAAGTGAAGCCGTGCCAACCATAAGATGGCGGCTGCGGCAGCCATATTACTAGGGGCATCATGAGCTGTTGACGTTCGACATTGGGAAGGAGCCTTTTCCTCGCACGCCCAACGAGTTTAACGGGGCAACCTTTTAGGGTCAGATAGTGTTCAAAGTGCGTCCTTGTGTCACTAGTTTTCTTCAGTAAGCCTCGATTTCAAGGCGAATTTCATAGGAGATTAATTCACTGATACTAGATTCTGCAAGTTATTTCTTCGGAAACAACTATCTCTTAATTTATAATTAACATAGCACATAGACAACAAATCGAGGTCACTTGATCTATAAGTGGGCACCACCAGAAAATAGCATGTTTCTCAGATCTTTGGAGGGCAAAAGCTCGCTTCCCTACTGCTGGCAAAGCATTGCGGGAGCTTCCACTTCAGCATTTTTTTTAAACCTGCTTGGCTTGTACTCCTTTATAGGAGAGCAGATTCGTTGTTTATAAAAAAAATTGGTCGACGATTTTGAGTACTTGGTACTCAAAATCTGGAGAGCATAAAGCCGTCCCGTGGGTCCCACACTTGATAAGACCCTGTCGACAAAAATTGTGGCGTGAGCCATGAGGACAACGCCGTTCGGCTCAAGGCAGCAACACTGCGCTGCTAGATGTGTCATCTGTCTACTGCAAATGGAACCGATGCTATGCAGGTTCTTTAGTTTAATTTTTTTTTCGTGTCATCCATCTACTGCAAACAAACCGATGCTACGCAGATTCTTTAGTTGAATTATTTTCTATTCAGATACCGAAACAAAACATGGTTCATCTGCATCTTCGCTCTGATATAGCCACCCAAACAGAGAATGCATTCATGTTTACATACAGTCATACCCCTCTACACAGCTTTTCTAATCAAGAGAATAAGCTTCTATCGAAAACTGTAGCAGCTATAGCAGCTGAGATATAATAACGAAAACAATCTCACGCTTGTGGCTCTGGGCTTGGCGGATGATGATGCTCAAGATGTCCCAGGACAAGATGGCGCTCACCAGGGTCTCCACGTTCAGGATGGTGGCGATCATTGGGTGCTTGCCTGCAGAAAGTTGAAGCTTCATACAGGTGTGCGCTATGCCGCGGGAAACAATTATCTCCGGATAGAGGATTGACCACACGTTATTAACAACACATACTAATAACTGCGCGACAATAAGTTGTTTTACAGCCGTTCTGTTGCTCCCTAATTATCGGCACGACAACGTGGAAAGTGTTGCAAAGACGCTGTAAGTTGGGCGGACCTGGCCACGTGCCCGTCACGCTCACACGTGGCGCCAGCCGACTCGTTGCGTTCGGCACCGCAAACAGGCACGCGCTCATGTGCTGCAACGCGTGTACGTGTGGTCAGTGCTTAAAAAAGTGCGGCGCCAAATGCAATCAGTTGACTAGCGTCACGTATACGCGTGAGGCGGTTGGAAGGTCCGCCCAACTCACAGCGTCATTGCAGCACTTTCTACAGCAGGCCTGCCGCCGAGCACTGTAAGAGTTCTGCCACTGATGCGGTCCGGGAAGGTTGCAAAACCCCTTCTCAAGATGTGCACCGCGCGTCATGCGACAGAAGTTTGATCGATGCCAGTCTGGGAAAGATCGCGAGTAACACGTACGCTGTAAGCCCAAGTACGCACATGCAGTGTACCTTTGTTGAGCAGGCTGTCGGCGACGGAGACACGCTCGGTGCAAGTCTGCAGGGCGCCCAGGATGAAGCACCAGAGGCGGCCGAACTGGTTGCGCATAATGGCCATGTTGTACTCCATCATGATGTAAGTGTTGATCACTGCGTGATTGTCCCAGAGGCAAACGCTGTCATTTCAAAAGTGACTTTATACGTAAGAGATATGACTTTATACGTAAGAGATATACGTAAGAGATATGGCATGTTAAACGAACAGTTTCTCATTTTTGTATACCTCGACTTGAAATAGTCGAGTACTTAGGAGAAGAATTAATCTGGGAAACTACATATTTCTTATGCCGTGTTGACCCCCCGAATGAACTAGCCAATCCTTTCTGCCGCACCAACCGTTTTCTGCAATCTTTTCTTCCGAAGACAAGCAGAGATTGGACCCGCCTTCCCCCCTCCATTGCTGCCACTAATGATCAAGGGCAGCTCAAGTCAGCAGCTTCAAAACACTTTATGGTGTGACTGCAGGCTACTGTCCTTTGCCCGCTCTTGTCTTTTTTTTTATTTTTTCACTATTTTGATTTGTTCTATTTCCTTCACTGCTGTTATCTCAACTTTTGCAGCTTTCATGTTGTGCCCACCCGCTCTGTAACACCCTGTGGGTCTTGAGGGTATACTAATAAATAAGTAAATAAATAAATAAATAAATACCAGGTGGCGCCGTTTTGTTTGGCTGGCCGCATACAGTGCTCCACTTTTACGTGTTCTTGGCCCGTTACCGGGCCCCGCCCGTGTCTGGACAAGCTCACTATTCCTTCTGGAAGACTTCCGGGACACGCCGACAACATCCGGGCCCCGGTCCGACCCCAGGCTGGCCCCCCAGGCCCCTTCAAAAGTACGAAGCGGCGCGGCGCCGCGCTAACCCTAACGCGCCGCGCCTGCACCTCCACGATGCAGAGTCCCGCCCAGCACTCGACTCCAACGACAACTTACGCCCTGTCGGTAAGCCCAGCCTCCTCCGGTCGTACGCCTGATACAGCCGTGCCTCCGCTGTCACCATCTGGCAATGTCACCAGCCCCGCGCCGACAACAATACAGCAACAGGCAGCGTTCCTCAACAGCGCGCACGGTCCAGCAACGTGCAACGCTGGTGGCGTCTCTGCTACTCTCAGCTTGATAGCCACGCAAACGCCGGAGCCCGAGAGCCGTAATGCAGCGTTGGAATTGCAATCAACCACGCCTGCTGCTCTCCCCACCTTATCTGCGTCTGGCCTACCCATTGGAAATTCCGAGTCTGTCGACAAGCGCGTTTCGACGAGCGTCGTTCCTTCCATCGCCGAAGTTTTGCCTTCCATCACTTCAGCTGACGACTTATCGACGGAAATGGACTTCACGGCATCGCAAGTCAACAAAGACAATACGCCATCCCCTGAAGGCAGCTGGAACACCGTTAGTGCCAATCGAAAACCTGCCTCGACCGCCCGCCCCCGCTCCGAGCTCATCACCGTCGGAATCCAACTTCCACCCGGAACACTCACGCCGAAACTGCCCCTCTATGACCTGCTTTCTACCATCACAGCCGCCGCAAATCTCTCTCCCAAGACCAGTGCGGAGGTCACCCTTCAAGCCAAACCTGCTCAGAGCCTTGTGTTTCTGAAAACGCACTCACCTCTCACTGCCCACCTCCTACTCTCCCTCACAAGTCTGGAACTTAATGGTAAGCCGATCACCATTAAGCCCTATGCCCTCAGTCCTCCAATATCATGTCTCGGCGTCATACACAACGTCGGTGGTCACTTCACAACATCTCAGCTCTTGCATGACCTCGAATCCTTTACTTCAGATATACTCGCTGCACGTATGATGGGCTCCACTGAATCCGTCCTCATAACATTTGCTGGAACCATCATCCCTCGCTTTGTGTACTTCAAACGCGTCTCTTTCCGATGCCGTCCACATAAACCCAAGCCCCCTACTTGCACTCGGTGCCTTGCTATAGGGCACCGTGCTCATCAATGCCCCCAACACAGCGTTCCGGCCAAGTGCCGCCGCTGTGCGTCTCCTCTACCGGCAGATCCCGATGCTCACGTTTGCGCCCAACCCTGGTGCATCCATTGCCAAGTCAACACCCACTCATCTCTCGACTCCACCTGCCCCTACCTTCTAGCTAAGCAACGCGACTGCACCAAAGCAGCTTTTCTCCGTCGCACAGCCATGCGCCGAGCCACTCAGCCTTCGCCGCCCTCCTTTTCAGCGCATGAGCTCCTATCGCCTCCCGCAACATCCCCCCCGGGCTCATACGCCGCTAAGGTTAAGGGAACACCTCCCATGTGCACTTCTTCATCAAACACACCTTCACCATCTTCAAGTAACGAGAGCCGCTCCTTCGATCTGCGACTGGCTATGTTGGAGCGCAACCAGCGCGAGCAACAACGCGTCTCAGATGAGCTACAACAGAAAATACTTGCACTGACACAGACACTCGCAACTACCACATCCTCTCTTACCTCTCAACTCACGGAGCTAAATAAGCAACTCACCACACTCACCGCCCCGACCTCCAGCTCCCATGTAACCAAATTGGCCGACATGGTCGAAACCACCACCACTGCGCATCACACTCGTTTGGTCCAGCTGGAAAATTCAATTGTCCGGATTCTTACGACCCTCGAAACCCAATCTAAGCAACTGGAATCTTTCACCTATATGCTTAACTCCCTGCAGGAGTCACTTCCCCCGGCAAAAAAGAAGGAACGCGCACGCGTAGGCGCTTCCTTTACTCCAAAGACCTAGATGGCGCGTGAAAAGGACCTCGATATTTTGCAGTGGAACTGCCGCAACTTTCGTCATAATAGGACCCCTCTCCACCAATATCTTCTCACCCGCCAAACATTACCCCATTTTCTCCTTATACAGGAGACTCGGGCGGCCCTTGCGGTCCCAGGCTACCGTGCATATCACGCTACGACGGGAAAGCCACTTGCGTCCATTTATGTACGCAATGACGTTCTCGTTGAACCACTAGACGTACCCTCCCCCCTCCTGAAACATTTAGTTGGTGTGGTCTATTACCAACCATCTACCCGTATTTCTCTCGCTCTGATGTCATTTTATAACCCCCCTGTCACGTCCTCTTTGTTTAGTGCTCTTGGCAAATTCCTGCACTCCCTTCCATCGACCACCCATATCCTCCTTGGGGGTGACTTTAATGCTCCTCATAGGCTCTGGGGTTACCCCCAAACACTCAAACCAGGTCGCCTTCTACACTGCCTCGCCCAGGAACGCCATCTCACCCTTCTTAATACTCCTGACACCCCTACTCGAGCGGGCACTGTTTCACAGCGTTCCACTACACCCGATCTCACGTTCTCTCGGAGTTCCCTTCCTTTTCACTGGCAGGTCTCTGCTGAAAATTTTTTCAGTGATCACTTTCTCATACACATCACCACCCCTCTTTCCCACAATAGGCGGAAACAACGAGTCGCTCACACTGACTGGGAAGCATTCCGTAATAACCTTTTGTCTCACTCATTTAAAACTTACGACGACTGGGCGTCGCGGATCTCCGCAGCAATGACATCCTGTAGTCGCCGCGCTCGTTTTCAACTCCCCATTCCTGACCCCGATCCTCACTTCCTCCGATTATGGCGACGTCATAAACGTTTGAAACGCGCTCTCCGCTCGCAGCCACACAACTTCCAACTTTCCTTCCGAATTGATGCTCTGCGGGCTGAAATTATCGCTTACGGCACTTCTCTCGAGCACTCTCGTTGGAACACGCTGTGTGACGGCCTTGACTCCGCACTGCACTCGCGCTCTACATGGTCTCTGTTTAGGTCTCTCTTAGGTACCAAGCCTGCCGTTGCTCCCACCCTAGCTAAAGCTCTCACTCAAGGGACTCCATCTGATGTGTTTGAAAATTTAAAATCTCTGTATCTCCCACCCCCCCTCACACCTTCCTACCCAGATTACTGTGGCGAAGCTAACCCAGACCTGGACCGCCCATTGACGCTCAGGGAGCTGGAAGCTGCCTTAGCCACTCAATCTACCCGCTCGGCACCCGGTGAGGATGAGATAACATATACTACATTACGTAATCTCCCCGACAACGCGAAGGAATTTCTCTTACACACATTCAACGAAGCATGGAACAGCGGCTGTCTTCCAAGCTCTTGGACATCATCTCTAATTTGCATGATTCCGAAGCCCGGCAAACCTCCATCTCTCTCTAACCTTCGCCCTATCTCTTTGACGTCATGCGTTGGCAAGACTCTTGAACGAATGGCCTTGACTCGACTGTCTGATTTTATTGAGGCGAAAGAGTTTTTCCCTCCTTCTCTTATTGGCTTCCGACGCCACGTTTGTGCGCAGGACATGTTCCTTGTTCTTCAGCATACTTTTCTTTCACCTTCTCGTAGTCAGATCCATGCGCTTGTAACCGTCGATGTACGGAAGGCATTCGATGGCGTGAGTCATGACCACATACTCGCTCAGCTCTCCTCCCTGTCATGTGGCTCCCGCATGTATTCTTACATCCGATCATTTCTTTCCAATCGAGTTGCTCGCTTCAGAGTCGATACTCATTTGTCTAACCCACACTCCCTCACCCGCGGCACTCCTCAAGGTGCCGTACTATCTCCTACTCTATTTAATATGGCTATGGCCCCCCTTGCCTCCCAACTGTCCCAAATACCTGACCTCCACCATATTTTTTATGCAGACGACATCACTCTCTGGTGTACGTCTGGATGTCCCGGCCACGTGCAGGATACTTTGCAACGTGGCCTGGACCTTATTGCTTCCTTTCTCGCTACTGCTGGCCTGTCCCCTGCACCGGAGAAATGTGAACTACTTTTGCTAAACCGGTCTGCGTACCAGCGCTCCCACAATACCCTCATCTCCCTACATCTTTCTAGCTCTCTCATCCCCACTGTTCAGCAATGCAAAGTTCTTGGCTTCCCTTTGCACGCGACAAAGAACGCGCAGGCCCTACATCACGCTGTGAGGACTTGCCATTCGGTGACCCACCTCCTGCGACGCGTTGTCACTCGGCAGTCGGGGCTCCACGAGTCTCATGCGTGCCGGGTTGCACATGCGCTTGCCCTTAGCAAGTTCTTATACTTTGTACCCTACGTT